GCGCATGTGGTATGGAACTCCCAGGTTGTCAAGAACATCCCAAAAAATCCTCGCATCAAGTATGGAGCATGCAACCATAAATTCTCGTAGGTTGTGTAGAAAATGCAAGAACAAACCCTCGTACGTAGGACGGACTAGCTAAATCAAATGATCAAGCAGGACCGACCGACCGCTCCTGTGAGTGGGCTCTCACTGGAGGCCGTGAAGCAAGTCGTGGCAGTTGCACTTGCCGAGCGGTTCCCACGAGCAGAGAGACCTGGCGAACATAGACGTGGAAGTCAGCTTTTGTAATGCTCGAAGATACAGGGTTGAGGCCTTCGGATTTNNCTTGGTACATAAACCTGCATTAAAGGACCTTGGCCAAGACTTGCTCCGAGTGCAAGCAAGCGAAAGACCGGAGCGGGTTTGCCGCATCCCAGTGGGTGAAGAAGGACTGGCAGGGGCAAGGTTCTCCGTAGAAGAACTGATGTTGAAAGAGGATAGGTGCAACTGTGCATGTAAGAGGTCGTAGTAGATGCATTTGTTGCTTTTGTCGTGGTATTAATAAACTGCATGGGCTTGAAGGCTGACAGGTTCGGATTCCTTGGCAGGACCCCAAATGCTTGGCTTGCTCACCTGTAGACGAACGCCTTCAAAAGCGACGCAAGCAGAGCAAGATTTGCTGCAAGTGTGAGCGCGATGTGTCGCGGGATGGCTTCAGCGACACCCAGTGGCTGGGAGGAAGCACGTCGAAGTGTAAAGCGTGCGTCTCAGAGGAAGCCATGAAAGCGACAGTCCGGTTGCGTACCTGCCGCAATTGCGGCATCGAAAAGTGCAAAGATGCATTCAGCAAGTCCCAGTGGTCCATGTCTCAGAAGACTGGAAGCCAGTGCCAGGTCTGCAGCCAGCAAAAGGTCCAGGCCAACGAGGAAAACTTCACAAAGAAGTACTGTGCTGTTGGTGGTAACGCTGCTGGCGAGAATGCAGAGGTACAGAAGCTCATTGCGGACAAAGCTGANNGGTGATGGAGGCGAGCGAGCTTGCCCTCCCGTCGGAGAACTTGAAGAGCTACCAGGCCATGCACTGCCTCCGCAGCTCGCCGAACTGGTCTGGCCGCGCTATGGAGCCGGATGAGTCGGGTATTCCGGCCAAGCACAAGCTCAGCTTTCTCAAAGCTGTGCATGAAGAGCTGTCGCACATGGGCAATCGAGATGGCATAGTGCAGGCCTTGCAAGAGGAAGGCAAGAGCTGGAAGAATCTTCAACTCGATGCCCAGTTCGTCGTGTCTCGTTGCGAGAGGTGCAGGAAGAACACACAGCGCGGACTTTCAGGACCTTCCGTTCGGCATCTGCCGACGCCTGGCCAGGTGGGTGTCGGGTTGTAAAGTTTAGGCAGTCTAAGAGTTTCAGCGGGGAAGGTCGCTGTACATGAGCCCTGTCAGGCGGGGGATGTGATTGGCATCGACATGAAAACTGTCCGGCCGATCAACAAGGACAAGTGGATTTGCCTTTTGGCGGTCTGCTTCACTTCGAAGAAGGCTTTTGCGTGGGATCTGGACTATGGCTGCGGCGACTTAGAGACTGTGCAAGGGCACCTTCTGCGTTTCTTTTGTGA